GAGTAAATACGACCTCCCGCGCATCGGTTCCGTGACTCCCCATTTATATGGTCTGCCGAAAGTGCACAAAGAGAACGTGTCACTAAGTCACACCTTGGATATGACAAATTCGCCATATGCATGCTACTGTCAAGTGGCTCTCAGACATCCTCCTACCTATCAGAGGCATTCTTTGTCAGCATACTGTTTCACATTCATTTGAATTAGTCGATTCAATAACTGATGCTAATGTATCTGGGAAGAAAATGATATCTATGGATGTTACGTCCCTTTTCACCAATGTTCCTCTCACTTAAACTATTTGCTTTATATGCGAATTCATTGAGGATAGTAATGTAGACGTATGTGTTTCGATCCACTGCTTAAAGGAACTACTAAGGAGGTGCACTCTAAATGTCCAATTCAAGTTCAAGAACACGCTTTATAGACGAAGAGATGGAGTGGTCATGGCGTCATCATTGGATGTTTTACTTGCAGACTGCTTCTTGGCAAGTCTGGAGAACAGTATGTTACGACCTACTATCGATAGTTTCCATTTGTCAAGCTTGCCATAGCGAACACAAGAATCAGTCTTCCACTGAGCTGTATTGATAAGAAAGAATATTCCAAGACCTTCTGGAAATGTCTTCGCCGCAATCATATCTCCCCCCAAACCATCTCTCTCTGAAACGTCATACACTGAATGTGATCGATGAAATAAAATCCCGACCGCCAGAGATAGAAACAAATGATTTCACTTAGAACACATACTCTATTTGAACTGACAGAAGATAAGCCAGGAAATTTTATGGACTAAATCAATTCATTTTCAAGAAAACGTTGTGAAGATGTAAACCTAAAACTCGGAAATAGTCTCAAAGCCACTGACACTTATTCACTTTTTCCTGCCACACCAGAGAAATACGTTTTCAACTACTCTAGTATATTATTGACTCCTGTCCAATCGCAGGCCTTATCGTTTGGTCGAAAACCCTGTGTAATATTTCGACAAATTCGAGTGACTTGGATATTAAAGTCCAGTTTGATGTATTGATCCATCAGAAAAGTGATCTTCTCCCAGTGTCCAACAAATCATATGAACAATTCAAGTCTAGAGTATTGAATAGCTGCCATCAGTACATCAACACAAAACTGAATTTCAAAAGATTGATTTCATCCGAGCACAGAAAGCAACTACATGAGATTTTTAGGAATAAAGACTTCGTTCTGACCCGCCCTGATGAATCGCCAAGACTACGTCGATAAATTGTTATCCGTCATGTCAGATGAGAACAAATTTTCAAAAGAAAGTAGCCAGAAACACCGAACGGAACAAATTGAAGGAAAGATAACACAAATGGTGAAGAAGATGAAGAATGGATCGATTATCAGCTCTGAATTATTTGAGCAAATACGACCCCCAGCTTCCATGATTCCCTTGTTTATCCAATTTCATCAAAAGACTAAACAGTTAAAAACCCATTGTTTAGATGCAAATCTTTATAAGTGATAAGATGGCTGAAAATTAAAAATATATGAGGACCATCACCCACTTGCTAATTATTATTATTATTCTTATTATTGTTCCCTTGGCTTCCGAATGGAATATAAGGCTGGCTGGCTTCAACAACACATCTCCACTTTCTTCTATTTTCTGCCATCCTCTTCAACTCGGTCCACTGTTGCCTAAAATCTCGCATCTCCTCCTCACATGTTCTCCTCCATGCCACCATCTCACTGACGACCCACGCATCGCTTCCCATTTGGATTACACTCGAGTGATGCCATTCGACAGTCTCCTCAATGTGTGCCCGATCAGTCCATCCTCACTTTCTTACATATTTGATCAGCTCTTCGTTGGTGGGTTCGTTACCACAGTTTCTTGTTACTTATCGTTTTTGGTCATTTCATCTTCAGTATGGAACCAACCAACCAACCAACAAACCAGCGAACGGGGCAGCTGTTGATAAAAGTCGGCGACTGGTTGTTGGAAATCCTTTTCGTGACACGCTAGCCAATTTTTTGACCCGTAAAGAATGACCCACTTGACATTTGTGTTGAAAATGCTAATCTTGTTCCTTATGCTGAATTATTCCAGAAGATTTCCAAACTAGTTTCAAGTTGACGAAGGGGTATCTTGCCTTTCGGATTCTGACTGGCTTTAACATCTTCATCCGTTCCCACTGCCTGTGGTTAAAATGTTGCTTCTTAGACGAGTGAACGAAGTTTCTTTTTTCCTTCACGTTCCCAGTGGAACATAGGGCTTCAAGCTAGTGGCTTGAAGTTTCTGTAGCAGTGTTTAAGTTTTACAGGATGGGTTTGCTAGCCAGCCAGCCGCATGCCCAACCTTTCCTCTTTACCACCATTATTCCTGGTTTAGCGAGAGAGGTAAAGGAGTGAGTTGGTGGCCGGGGATCGAACCCCGGATCGTGTGAATGGTCGGAGAGCGTCCTAACCGACGTGCCACCGACGCACAGTGAACGAAGTAATCTCTGTCAAATCTCTCTCCCGCTGATAGGGATTGGTGCTGGTTGTTGTTGAGTGAGGTTCATTGGTCATCTACATCACCAGCGTCTTCTCTATGTTCACCTGGATGGAGTCCTGTCTTCGTTGCTTGACTCTTCAGTCAGCTTGTTGGCTTTCGCCTGTACGTCTTCGAGTCTGTGTGATTTTGAGGTGGTTGTGTTCTCTGAGCTGGCTGGTTAGTTAATCTGCGAAGCTTTCATCGCCCTACTAGGCGACATCTTGCTTCAGCGCCTACACTTCAGTTTGAATTCAAGTGAGCTTTCAGATTTCTCCATGAGTTTATTAATCGTCTCTCCTGGTCGGTGACCACCTTGAACGTGATTGGTTGTTTTCGTGTGTTTTCACACCTTCTAGGCAGCTACTTGTATTGGAACTGATTGTTTCTTTGACTTGAACTTTCACCCTTTGTGTGTGTGAGGTTTCCTTCTTATCTCTTGATAAATTTTGTCTATCTCGATGTGTCTATTGATTGATGATTCACTGGAACGCCAGGTAGGCTTCTAAAGATCCCTTGTCTAATATTATTTCAACACTGGTTGTCCCAGTCGAATTGATGTTCGTGGTTGTCTGTATGTAGTGATATGAGGGAGTGGATATCACAAAGAAACAAATATATCACAAAGCAAAAAGAAAATCGCCTTACCACATATAAAGGACATCTCAGAAATCACTACAAGACTCTTCAAACCTTTAAGAATTGACATCGTGCACAAACCAACAAAATCACTTCACTCAGTTCTATGTCAACCAAAAGACAGACTCAAAAACGAAAGAAGATAAAGCCAACATCATATACAAAATAAATTGTAACAACTGAGAAAAACACTACATTGGTCGAAGGAGACTGCTCTCCTCTTCGTCTTCGTATCCATGAACATAAGTTAGCCGTCAAAAGACATGACATCTACTCCTTCACTCATTCATATCGCCTCATCGCACACAGACATTCACGGACATCAATTCGACTGGGACAACCAGAGTTGAAACAATATTAGACAGAGAAAACAACACCAAGAATGCTACAGAATTTTAAGAAGCCTACCTGGTATTCCAGTGAATCATCAATCAATAGACACATCGAGATAGACAAAATTTATCAAGAGATAAGAAGGAAACCTCACACACACAAAGGGGCAAAGTTCAAGTCAAAGAAACAATCAGTTCCAATACAAGTAGCTGCCTAGAAGGTGTGAAAACACACAAAAACAAATTGAAGTGTAGGCGCTGAAGGAAGATGTTGCCTAGTAGGGCGATGAAAGCTTCACAGATTAACTAACCAGCCAGCTCAGAGAAAACAACCACACACCTAAAATCATCCACCTGAGGTACAAATCTTCTCTATCACATCTAAGTCTGTGTGATACTTACTAATCAGTCGGCTATTTTTCTTATGCCATACTGCTGTCCCCATCTTTAGTTTTGCTTTCATTGAAGGAAAGTACATCGACTGACTGCCTTCGCGAAGGCTTTCACCAGCCTGCGTCATTTCACTTCGCCGATTCCAGAGAGAAATAAGGTTGTTGTTTATATTTTTTAGTATTTTTAATATATTTATGCGTTGAAGTTTCTGTAGCAATTTGGTTAAGTTTTTGGGGTGGATTTGTTAGCACCACACCTCAACCCTCCCTCTTTATTCGGGCTTGGGACCGGCTAAAAAACTATCGAGCTGGTAATCTAGGCGAGCATCAGCATCAACAACAACAAAATTCGGTCGGATTTTCAATACAAATGTCAAGTCGGTCAGTTCCTCTATACGGATCAGAAACTTGGCCGGTGGGTCACAAAGAATATTTCCACCAACAGCCTGTTGCAGACGTTACCTTTATCAACAACTAACTGTCTTCGCTGGATCTATCCTGAAGATCAGATGGCCGGGCTGAGCCGGAAACAATCACCACCAACAAAAAACTATGGGAACAAACTAAACACAAGAACCAGTCGCCCAACAACAGCAAATATGCAGGAGAAAGTGGAGATGGATGGATTGGACACTCGCTGAGAAGGCCGCCCCTAGGTGACGTCGCGTGCGCGTCAGGCCACTGATCGATTGGAACCCAAAAGGGAAGCGGCGAGTGTGTTGTCAGTGCAAGGGTGACATAGAGGAGATCGTGTTAATTGGAGGAGTTGAAACAGTATGGACTAAATTGGATGCAGGTGAAAAGTACAGCAGAAGACAGACAGAAGCAAGTGGAGACGTGCAGTTGAAGCCCTATGTTCCACTAGGAACCCAAAGGAACAATAATAATACGTACTGTGGTCTGTGTTGAGCGTTAAAAACTAAACGCCTTGAATGGTGGTCTCCATAAGGCGAATGCTGTAAGAAGAAGATTCCCATAATCACCATATATACACTGAGGTAATCTGTAGTGATTTCAATACCTAAAGAAGGACTGAGGACAAACATATTCATAGAAGTTTTAGTTCTTTGCAAATATAATCAAAAATTGTTAACAATTTTTAACATATTCAGAACACAAACAAGATGCTAAACTTACTTCTGCGTAGAATTTCTGTATAGCTTCTTCAAAATCCGCGACAGATGGATTATTTGCCATGAATGTTTCAAATTCTTTTGTTTTAGATTTCTCCCACAGCGGTTTATACCGATCGAATCGTCGAAGTGAGGATTTTATATTCTGAAAAGTACCAACAACAAAAAAACTAACTAGTATTCTGTATGCTTACATGAAAATCTATAAATATCTCGGTTGACTTCGTAAATAAACGATCTGTTGCCTGGCTGGCCTTGTCTTCTGTTGTTACATTTGGCGTCACTGCCTACAGACAAATGGGAAGCCTATGCCCTGCAGTTTTTGATGGAGGAGACATATGGACCTTCGGGAAGGACTTCGAGGCTTCTGCACAGTTGAGCGGCATTCAAGATCTGTCAGCGATGAGGCTGCTACTTGGGACGCTGCTGGGAGGTCGGGAGAAAGCAGCATATGAAAGTGCGACAGCGTCAGACAATCAGATTTCACAGTGGGAAGGACCTCATATAGTCACTTTGAGATGATGGGGTTACGCAGACACAATCGCAATGATAAACAAAGAGAAACAGGTGAACATCAGCGAGCGCCGAGATTCCAGACAGCAAGACAAACGAACAAAGCCCCAAGAAGCAAGAAGACCGAACCAAGTTCAGTCGCAAGTCTTTCGTCTGGAGACGAGTGTGGTGAGAGCTGGCTGTTAGCTGAAATTGGTAGATAGTTATTTACGTCAAAGTGTGCGTCCCCAATATTGGTCATGAGAAAAGAAGAAGAAGAACAAAGACTGACTCAGCAACCAATCACAGCAGACTTTGTTTGCGTAGGCGGATACAATTAGCAGATAAACGACCCGACCTTCAAGAAGACTGTGTTGTCTACTTACAATTATTATTATTATTATATGCTTTAATTCCTGGAGGAACATAGGGCTTCAGCTGCACACCTGCATTGCCTTCTGTTTTCTGCCAACTTTTTCACTCTGCTCCAAGTCTGCCCTCATGCTTTCATCTCCTCCTCACATGACCTCCTCCAAGTCACCTTTGGAAGACTTACAATAATCTATAATAATGTTCATGAAAATCTTTAGATATGTTTTGATTTGCATCTTCAATAAACGATCTATTGCCTGGCCCCTGTCTTCTGTCGTTACATGTGTAGGTAGAATGTAAAAAAAAATAATACTAAATTTTAAAAAATAACCAATACTGTAAGCTTTTATGCACACATGTTGAACGAATGAGTTAAGATGCGCAGTGATTAACGTTTCAGGTTACCACACCTCATAAATCCTTATTAAGTATAAGGTAATGTAAGGTGAAAAAAAAGGAACCAGGTAAACAATAATGATATTATAATTATGATAAATACAAGATAAAAGAACTTAGAAAAACAGCAATCACCTGTAAACTGCATCACCAAAAGTTTCAAACATTAAAATGTCTCTGGTGATGCAAAGACGCAACTAGTCAGATCTGCACTTTCCTACTCGTCAGCTGAGACTGAGGAATCAACGACCTCATATGCATTGGTGGCAAAGTTTCTACCAGCCTGATCCCACCTATTTTCATTCGCCTAAGATGTGGAAGTGAGGTGTTGAGTAATACAAGCAAGTTATTTGTCCCAGTCACCTTATAACTATTATTATTATTATTATCATTATTATTGTTTCCTTTAGTTCTTAGGGCTTCAGCCCCAACGTCTCCATTGCGTTCAGTTTTCGGCCAACGTTTTCACCTAGCTCCAAGTCTGATCACAAGCTTTCATCTCCTCTTCACATCACCTACACCATGTCACCCTTGTACTTACGACCAACTCATCGCTTCGCTTTCGGGTTCCACTTCAGGGCCTGTTTGGTGTTGTCATTTTATGATTTCCCCAAAATATGGCTAATCCATCTCCATTTCTTCCTGCTTATTTGTTGCACAATCGGTTCCTGCTGGGTTGGTTCGCTTATTGCCAGAAATCCCTGTTGCTGATCTTTTCTGGCCGGCCGGTTATCTGGTCTTGAGTATTGAGATCAGATCGTCTTATAACTACCTGGATTGATTTACTCATCTCATCTATGACTGCATGCTTAGTGCACACACTCCACAAATGCTGATTGAAAACTGACGTTAGCAATACTACAAGGGTAGGGTGAGTTCTAACTGAACCTACTCTAGACTCTTTCACTGCAACTGTTATCTTTTGAAGCCACTTAGGAGGATAAAGTACATTGCTGCCAATGGATATTTAGATACTTCATCTGAGGCGAACAGTTGTACGACAATGCTGCATGCCAAGTAATCACCCACAACGGGAAACTTACGGAGTCCTTCAAAGAAGTGAAGACGGAGTAAGACAAGCTGGCTGCCTACTATCGCCAATGACTTTCCTGACTGCAGTAGATTGGATAATGTGACAGACAGCGGCGGGCAGCGACGAAGCAGGCATAAAATGGAACCACACAAAAAGAGACTTGAAGGATCTGGACTTCGCCGATGTGATATATATGTCTGATTTCCCACAAACTGGAAGATATACAAGTGAAAAGCAACAAGTTGGCAAAAGAACCATCCTAAGAAGATAGGACTTCAGGTGGACATAGAGAAAACAGAGGTGATGAAGACTCCTGGCCACCACCAACAGCAACAACAACAGACAACAATCAGCCAGCAGAAATGAGAGGAACCTGAAAGAAACAACCTACTTCACCTACCTACCTGGGAAGCATCGTTTTAACTACAGGCGGACGGAACTGACGAGGATATCAAAGCAAGAATCGGTGAGGCAAGACAAGCCTCCATTACACTCAAGTCTGTGTGCAGGTCAACAGCACTCAGCATGAAAATAAGATTCGGATTGTTGACTTCAATGTGAAGTCAGTCAGTGGTACTCACTATACGGATCAGAGACTTGGCCAGCGCGTCATCGAGAGCACCTTACACAAACTACAGACTTTCATCAACAGTTGTCTTCGCTCAATACTTAAGATCATATGGCCAGAAAAGATCAGCAACAGGGATATCTGTCAATGAGCGAACCAACCCAGCAGGAACCGATTGTGCAACAGATAGGCAGGAAGAAATGGTTGGCCATACTCTGAGAAAACAAAACCATCAAGTGACATCACTAGATAAGCCATTGCTCGAGTGGAACCCGAAAGGGATCGGAGAATTGGTCGCCAGTGTGAGGGTGACTTGGAGGAGGTCATGTGAAGAGGAGAGGAAAGCATGTGGTCAGACGCGTGGAACCAGGTAAAAACACTGGCAGAGAAGCGAATGCAATGGAGACGCGCGGTTGAGGCCCTGTGTTTCTCTAGGAATTAAAGGAAATAATAATATGATAATAAGTCGCCAAACATACCTGACTCAGTCGAGCAATAAGACGACTAATTTATATACGTAGAACATCTAGTTCAATGATCAGTAATTGTAAATTAATAAACAACATATTTGAAGACATCAAACTCACCACGAGAGAAGGAGAATTCGATAACAAAATCCCATTTTTAGATGTCTTCATCAGAAGAAACAACACAGGAAATTTACAAACACAAGTATATACAAAATCAAACGCACTCACACAAATCAAATACTCAACTGTACTAGCAATAAACCAATTACTCACTCACAAAAGAAACTGTGTGCAGACATTGTTCACAAGAGAGTTTAAACACACTGCAGCACTACTCCAGAGTTGAAAAGAATGCATGAAAAATGCCTACTAACGGTCTTCAAAAAGAATGGATATCCACTAATTTTCATCAAAAAGTGTTTAAAATCGAATGAATCACAACACCAACAAGGAACCATTATCAAAGACTACAAGGAAATTCATCCTACCATATATAAGCGAAAATATCTCTGAAATAACAGCTAGAATATGGAAACCGTTTGAAGTAGATACATATAGCACACAAGCCAGCCAGCCAGCCAGCCAGTCAAATCACTTCATTCGATATTCTGTAAACCGAAAGACACATCCAACAGAAAAAGGAGATAAAATTAATACCATTTACAAAATAAATTGCATGTATGAACTGTAACAGACAACACATCGGTGGTTGAAGTGGGCGTCCCCAGGGTGTCGAATCAGAATCCAGGAACACAAATCAGCTGTGAAAAGACATGACATGACATATATATTCCTGTTTCATGTCAACCAATGCATATAGATAATTATGGACATCAGTTTGATTGATAACTGGGATAATGTCGAAATTTTAGACAGAGGAAACACCACTGAAAGTGCATTCAGGGAATTCCTAGAAGCCTGGTACTCAAATGAATATGTTAATATAGACCAAATATACGAACTAATAAAAAGTAGATCACGTGACGAGAAAGTTTCAAATCCAAGTGAATAATCAAAATGATCAATACATATGTAATGATGGTTACCGGGAGACACAATTCTATCACCACTCATGGAAAAACTTAAATCAGTTTACTTTATGCTAGGAATTCCGCTGAAGGCGGATGTTATCCAGCAGGGGGGAGGGACGACGAAACCTCCACAACTAAACCAACCACCTCAGAGAACACTGTTAATTGCAAATCAGTAATTACTTTGTAAGTTGTCATAGTAACGCTAATAATATAGCATCTAACACTCGTCAGTGAGAAACTTATCACGAGTATATCCATATAAAGGTTAGTAAAGCTGACCAAATACTATTCCTGAGGCTTTTTCAGCACAGACACAATCCTAGATAAATTAGAATCTTGAAGTATTGTGATTCATATTGGATTACTGATTGCAGTGAAGGAAAAAGCCTTACAATTCAGATCTAGTGTATGCTTGAATGACAAGTATTACTTTTTAAGCATCACTCAAGTTACACTAGTACCTCTAAAGACTGTACAATCAAAAGTCTTCTAAGAATACAGTGTCTACTTTAAGTTGATGAATGTTTTCAACAGCTAGAAGTATCTTGGACATCTTTATTGTAGTAATAAACTATTTAATACACTGATCTCTGTTGTAGATGAATATTATGCAAAGAGATTATGACAGGTTAATTTTTACGCTAAAACTTTTCCATTTGTTTTCATGAACTACCGTTAAGTTTCCTTAACTTCATACCTGTAAAATTATTTTATCGAAATCATTCAATCCTAAATCAGCATTCTTAAACAAGTCATATAAACTCACCGAGTGAGTGACTTAACCTATTTTTAACCTTGACCTTGAAGTAGTCTGTTGTAAAAATGTGGGAAGAAACTTGTGCCTTAAGCTTAAGAATTATATCGGCTTCTTTTTGTCTGGAGTAACAATATAGATAGAGAAACCAAAAGACAGCTTATCTATCTAGGATGTTGACACCTTTAACTTCAAAAATTATCGCTTTTTTGTTTTCTAAAGCATCAACTGAATCGAAGAGCATTCATTATCATACACTACAAGGATTTGAAAGAGGTTATACTTCATTCACTTACTTATCTAGGGAGGATTATCTCAACTACAGAGAGTCGGAGCGGACGAGGATGTCAAATCGAGCGAGAATCGGGAAGGCGAATAACACATTCACTCACATCAACCAGAAACCAATCTGGAAATCTTCGTCACTCAGCATCAACAACAAAATTCGGTCGAATTTTCAATATAACCACGTCAAGTCAGTCAGTTCTTCTGTATAGAACGGATCAGAAACTTGGCTGGTGGATCACAAGGAATATTTCCACCAATAACCTGTTGTAGACCTTTATCAACAACTAACTGTCTTCGCTGGATCTATGCTGAAGATTAGATAGCCGGGCCGGGCTGGAAAGAATCACCAATAAAAAACTATGGGCACAAACAAACAAAACAAGAACCAATCGCCCAACGACAACACCAAATATGCAGGAGAAAGTGGAGATGGATGGATTGGACACTCGCTGAGAAGGCCGCCCCTAGGTGACGTCGCGTGCGCGTCAGGCCACTGATCGATTGGAACCCAAAAGGGAAGCGGCGAGTGTGTTGTCAGTGCAAGGGTGACATGGAGAAGATCGTGTTAGTTGGAGGAGTTGAAACAGTATGGAGTAACATGGGTGCAGGTGAAAAGTACAGCAGAAGACAGACAGAAGCAAGTGGAGACGTGCAGTTGAAGCCCCATGTCCCACTAGGAACCCAAGGGAACAATAGTAATAATACAGGGATCATTTTGAAAACGCAAAATACACTTCAAAAATTTTCAAAAGGCTACCTTTTGAACTGGTGATAAAGCGCTGGTAAGCATCGCCTTAAGTTTGTTGATCTCTTTATTTTCAAAAATTTTCTTGAAATAGTTTGTTGAGTGATTTCGATTTCCATGTTCACCATCTATACTATTGAATTGTTCATCTAGTAGTAATGAATCACCTAGTAGTCGTTCAGTGCCTTCAGAGGAATCATTTGGATCTCTGGTCCAGTCACTACTTAAATGCTGAGAGGAAGTATCGGTTTGACTTGATTTTCGTGTTTCCTTTGGTGATTGCATAATTTCCTCAACTTCATTATCATCCTGCAACTGAAAAAGATAATAATAATAATTATTATTACATTTGGCAGTGAGACGCAGTCAAACTCTGTAGTATGTAATTGTGCGCATCTTTATGTGTGTAGCTTTCGGAAGTTCATTCCGTTACCTTCATTATTGATTCATGGTAGCGGGAGAGTTAAATCCAAGATGGATACATACTACATAAATTAAAAGTCAATCTGAACCAAGAAGAATATTCTTTTCAGTAATTTCTCCTATTCACGTTCCCCGAATTATAAAATATAATAGAATAAAATAAATTTATTGTCGTTACAATAATGATGATCAGTTAGTTATGCGGCGGATACATTTATTTTACCTTAATGTAGAATAACAGATCAGCAGTTGTGGGGTGTCAACATAAATAAATAGTCTCAGGATTTCATCATGAGCTGACATTAGTTAGAGAACCATTGGAAACCATTGGTTAGAATCCAAGGAACACTGGATCGGGTCCCAGTGGCTTAATGGTATACGAGCTTGCCTTGTAACCAGAAGGTCCAGGGTTCGAATCCGGGTGGGTGCGTACTAATGAAGAGTCCCAAACTAGGACGAAACAGCTGTCCAGTACTCCCTGTGGCAGGTTTTCCAATGGTTCTCTAACTAATGTCAGCTCATGATGAAATCCTGAAACCAATCAAATCCCTACAAACCATCACTTGAAATAAATAGTCGTATTTCAGTGTGACAAACGTGCTCTGGGCTGAAATCGATTACAAAGTATATCGGTGAAATGGGAGACAATGGTGGTGGCAGTGATTAGTCATAATAGGTTTGTAGAGTGTAGGGTAGGAAAATTGACAAGTAAGTCAGTTCAGCATTATAAAAGGTGTCAGGTGAGAGAGTAACTGAGTGCGTGGCTAGTACAAAGTGGTATGTATTCAAGAGGCGGATGAGATAGTAAGACTTCAATGAGAGGTGGTTCATAATGAAATGACGAATGTGTGAAATGAAGAAACAGGTGGAAGCATACATATATTGGGAAAAGAGATAATATCACTACTACTAATAATAATAAGTCCGGATAGTATAAATAGAAAATTAGACAGTATTGAGAGAATGTTTGTATGAAGGGGATAAATTATGTCGAAATACAAACGTACGTAATCTGATCAGGTGCTCAGCATTTACAGCGAGGTCCATTTGTTCGGAAGACTGTGTGGAGAAAGAACTCCATGTCATCTGAGACATTCTAAGCGAAAACGGATATCCAGAGAAGTTCATTAAAGCCAACGTGGGTTACAATAGTCGTAAACATGAAATGGCAATGGTGGAGTGTTCAGGCTACCAAACCAGTCTCATTTACTATCCAGCTACTTGGGCTGGATCATTCAATCAGCCCTGAATTCCTACTTTGTTAGTTTGTGATACAGTGACGACAAAGATCTAATCTAATGACAACTGTAATCAATCAATCTAAAACAGAACAGTATGAACTGTAGTGGATATTTTCATGGGACACTAGTCAGCAACTAGTGTGATGTGTCTAATCCTTTGTTTGGTGCAGACTAAATTCTATCACTCAGTCAGGTTTGTAATGCAACCACCATGCCACTAGGTAACTCGTCATTACGGTGCACGTAGATTTGATGATATTAGATGGCTGGAGGTCAGGTCACATTGCAAACCTGACTAACTGAGAGAATTCAGTCTGCACCAAAGAAAGGACTAGACGCATTACACTCGTTAAATGACTAGTCTCCAATCAAAATACCCATTACAATCCTACAGGAAGGAGGTCAATCGCGAGCCAGCCCGAATAGCTGGCTCAGTGCTCGTAACGTCTCTGACTGCAGTATTCACTGGGTGGCGTGGATTCGAATCGCCAAATGGACATGAGTTCCTTCAGTGTGGTTGCAGATACGCCTTGCTGACTGACTGACCCGTGAGTGCAAACTAGCACGAAACCTAGGTCGAGACAAGGCTTCCTCTGGCCGATTACCTCCAACCATCTAATATCATCAAATTTCATAGATTCCTAGCGAAAAGCTAGAACTAGAGATAATGACGATCGTTATCTACTTTCTTTGTCATTCCAGTCGCTTCAACTATCAGCTAGAATTACATCATATATATTATTTAACAGTAATACTTTAAAAATCATCAATTCTGGAACGAAAACACGTCTAAACAAACCGCAGAGAACTATTCATTAGATAAAGCTAAAAGTCCATAGTCTTATCTGTGGCGTGTGTATCAATAATAAGATGTTAACTAGGTGACTAGGTCTATTTCAGTGTTGTAGGGCACTATAGAGCAGCAGGTGAGAGAGAGAGAGAATCAGATCGACAGTTAACTAGTTTACGAGTTGATCACGCACGGATTGATATCAGTAGGAGAAGTTGGGAGTACTGACAGACAGCTATTTCATCAGACTAGTTTGGGAATCATAGGCAGTACACACCCACCCTTACCAGTGTTCGAGCCCAAGAGATTCCGGTTACAAGGCCAGCTAGCTGGCTTAAATATCATTCAGCCAATCACTGGGACCCACTCGATTCAATGGCTTACCAGTCAGCCTATGAATTTTAACTTCTACAAATTTGTGATTAAGCGCGACTGGTACCAAACATTGTCATCATTGGAACATCCATCCTCACATTTGACTAATGGTTGTACCTAGCTGGTCACACGACTTCTCACTAGAACTCACTCCAGGAAACTCCATCCTGTAGGAAGTCACTAGCGTGCATCAGATTAATTTTCTATAGTTTGGTTTGTAAGGATTAGTAAAAACAAAACTAATCCTTACAAACCAGTGAGGTCCGACCAGTAGTCAAGTATGAGAATGGATGTCCCACTGATGACATTACTTCGTGCCAGTCGCTCTTAATCACAAATTGGTAATAATAATAATAATAATGATAATTTGCTTTATTCCAAAACAGTACTTGTGATACAGAATGGAATTCTCAGCATTTTACTACAGTATTGCAACCAGTTTGTACACTATCAATAAATAAAATTCTACATAGATTATGGGTAATCTCAGTTAATTTTGATAACAGCATATTGGCATGTCGATCGGTAGCAAAGCCAAAGTGAACAGAATGTTTCAAGGTGTTAGAAAAGTACATACTACAAGCATATTTACTGGCGTAAGCGGTAACAAAAAAGATCGAGATATACAGAGTGTGAAAGAGCGAAGAAGAATGCTTTAAGTAGAGTTTGCAAGGAAGAAAGAAACAAAGCAGCACATAAAAACAAGAAGAAAGAGAAAAGGAAAAGAAAGAAAGAAAACATTGTGCCTATAAATGATATGAGTTGGAAAGACGAGATCCTTCTTGATGTAGGAGGTAAGACGGAATATTTGTTTAGAAATCATCAAGATATGAGACCACCAGGAAGGAAACATCAGCAGATAGAATGACACCAAGATATTTAATTTCCGACATGGTCTCTATTTCAGTGGCATCAATGGTGCACACCTCGGGAGTGCTAACCACCAGTTTGTTTAGGTCAGATTTATGCGTAAACGTGAAATTGACTGTTCGACATTTAGAAGGATTTAAAATTAGACCGTTTTCCTTGGACCACTGGCTGATTTCTGATAAAATGCCATTCAGTTTGGAGCAGTCACTGCGACACTTGACAGGCAAAGATACAGTCAGGTGGTAGAAGTTAGAATTCATAGGCTGACTGGCCATTGAATCTGATGGGTCCCAGTGAGTGATTGGCTGAATGGTATACGAGCCAGCTAGCTCGCCTTGTAACCGGAATCTCTTGGGCTCAAACCCTGGCCATGGCGGGTGTGTACTGCCAATGATTTACAAGCTAGTCTAATGAAACAGCTGTCTGACAGTTCTCCCTGTAGGTGGTTTTGAATGCTTCTCTAACGAAAAGAAGAAATATCTTATCTCAAAGTTAATTTTTTTTAAAACAAAAAATAACATAAACTAACCTTATGACCGAGAGGACCGCGCAATTTCAAATCCCACATTGGAATATGACGCATCACAGAGATGATTAAGTGTACAACATTATTCAAAGCTTTTTGAAAGTCATCAATAGACGGATAGATCAGAATTGTCGGTAGACACAATTGTGCATAACATGAAAAGTAGAGTTGTACTGATTCATTTGGATTCAGGCTATCTTGAATAAGAAACAAACTGGAAGTGTCAAACCATGCGTGGAGTTAATTATTTCTTGTTGTTGTTGTTGTTAAAATGAACAATTTCATAACATCAAAAAATTCATGTTTAATTGAATGTTAGATTTTCCCGCCTATTGATTAACTGGACCGGTCTCTGGTGGACATTTCTGTTGGCTTCTTGTAGTGCAGATGCTTCGATGATGTCTGCGCGTATCTGGTACAGTGTAAACTGTTAACTGCCAATTTATATTTTTAGAATACTAATACCAATGTCAGCTCATGATGAAATCCTGTAACCAATCAATCGATCAATCTATCAAATCCCTCCAAACCAATACTTGAATAACCATTTTCAATTTAGCAGTGATCAGAAAGTTACGTGTAAGCTAAATAGAGTAGGGTGTTCTAATATCTCACAGGTTTGTACATCACACATAGGACATTAAATTTTAAGCATTAAATTGACCCAATTTTTGACCTAGGTAATGCTGATTATTCTCTGTTCTAAAATTCTTAACGTTTATTAACGTTCCTAGCTGATTTTTTTCCTCGCTAAGTTAGAGAATGCACCACTGAAAGGAGTAATTAATGACATGGATTTCTACTGTCGATATATGGATGATAGATACATTTCTGGTTATGAAAGACGACAATGATGCAGTGAACATCCTTGACAAGTTTAATGATGCCCATTCAGCAATAAACTTTACCATAGAGAAAGAAAGTAACGACAGTATCTCATTCCTAGACGTCTTCATGGTAAGGAGAGAAGATGGCACACTAAGAAGGAGTGTGTATAGAAAGCCTACAACAACAGGTCAGTACACTCATTTTTTGAGTTTTGTGCCTTTGAAATATAAACGTAACCTCGTGAAGTGTCTGGTTCATAGAGCTAGGTTAATCTGTCCGGATGACTGCCTCAATGAGGAGCTTAAGATTATTAGAGAATTACTTAGAAAAAATGGTTATTCAGATAAATTAATTGAGAAAAATATGAATTCAGCACCAAGGAGAGTCAGCATGACTACAGTTCCGAAAAAAACAATGTTCATAAAATTGCAGTTCGTCTGTGACAACATCAGCGAAATAATAACACAGCGCCTGTAGAATGCAGTTAAAAGAGCAGAGGTACGTTGTCTCTTCACAACCACCCCTATTCTACGTTCGAGAAATAAGAATAAACTACCTAAATTTGCATCCTCCTCTATATGAATCTACCAGTTTGACTGCAGCTGCTGAGCCAGCTACATCGGGGGGGGGGAGGGCGTACAGTTAGGCAGGTTCATCATCGTATTTCTGAACATCATCCTGCATACCAGTTAAGCAAGGGACAAACAAGATATATTCGTAGCTCTATTTTAGCACACCTTGTAGACAGTGAGCATAAGGTGGACGTTAGTACTGCATTTAAAATTATTTGTCGCATTCGTACTAATCTTAATTCTGCTCTACGAATTCGTCTTCTACACACGACAGCTGAAGCAATAGGAATCCACTCGAAGAAGCCAAACTTGTGTGTGTTCCGAAGAAATTTGTACAGCCACTTTCTTTGCCTTGGCCATCGTTACATAAATGTATAAACTGTACTACTTCGCCCCCCTCCCCCTAAACATTTAAAAATTATAATTGTCCAAATTATTTTATTATCTTTTCTGACTACTTCATCTTTAATTACGTGTTAACCTTGTAAAATTAATTTATTCTAACCATGTCTACCTTATAAAGGTGTATTGATTTTCTTCGTTAATTATCACCCCACTGCTTGACATGTTGACACTGACTGACTAATTATTGTTAACAAACATATCGGGCAAATTGTCGCGTATTGTAATAGAAATGCGTGTATACGTGTATATAAGAGTAGAGTAGAACCAGAGTGAGATGAGGGGGGATTTAATTGAAAAGTAAACATTTCTTCACTGCTTAATCTTTCTGTTTACTAAAAGCTTAAACTCCCTACAGTTAAGTAATAACACAGAGTCTTCAAATAAATAACCAACTTACCGTAAGATAAAATTGAAGGTAAAGTCAAGCATTTGCGTAGATTTTCCAATGTGTTACGAACTAGTTTAGTTAAAGTGTCGACAGTTTTTTGATGAAAATGTTCTAGTAATCTGTAAGCAGTCTCTTCAATTTGTCGTCTACGACGTTCATTTGCACTTCTTGCTACGGGAGTTTTTGAACGTCCATTAGCTGAAAACAGACAAAAAAAACAACAACAAAGAACTAGTCAAGCATATCTGTCGGCAGGTGTTTAATTTTGGTAATAACGGAAAACTATTGAGCAGAACAAGTGAGCACCAGCGGTTCTATGGTAGAATGCCAACCTTATTAAGTTGTGAGTTTTATCTAACTCGTTTCTTTTGATTATTACAAATGTGTCGTAGACACAGACGTGCAGCGTAGAAAGTTTTCTTGTTCACCCTGGTTAAATGTTGCGATAGAATCTCCGCAGGAGTATCTCCCTTGAATTGGAGACACAAAAATGGAGGCTATTTTTTCCACCATTGCCATTTCATGTTTACGACTATTGTAACCCACGTTGGCTTTAATGAACTTCTCTGGATATCCGTTTTCGCTTAGAATGTCTCAGATGACATGGAGTTCTTTCTCCACACAGTCTTCCGAACAAATGGACCTCGCTGTAAATGCTGAGCACCTGATCAGATTACGTACGTTTGTATTTCGACATAATTTATCCCCTTCATACAAACATTCTCTCAATACTGTCTAATTTTCTATTTATACTATCCGGACTTATTATTATTAGTAGTAGTGATATTATCTCTTTTCCCAATATATGTATGCTTCCACCTGTTTCTTCATTTCACACATTCGTCATTTCATTATGAACCACCTCTCATTGAAGTCTTACTATCTCATCCGCCTCTTGAATACATACCACTTTGTACTAGCCACGCACTCAGTTACTCTCTCACCTGACACCTTTTATAATGCTGAACTGACTTACTTGTCAATTTTCCTACCCCACACTCTACAAATCTATTATGACTAATCACCTATGTTATATGCTGAACGCAAAGGTAAGTCTGAAAAAATTGGAAGATTTTGAGGTGGTTGTGTTCTCTGACCTGGATAGTTTATTCGTGAAGCTTTCATCGCCCTACTAGGCAGGAAACATCTTCATTCAGCGTCTACACTTCAATTTGAATTGAAGTGAGCTTTTCGATTTCTCAACGAGTTTATTAATCGTCTCTCCTGGTCGGTGATCGCCTTGGAAGTGATTGGTTGATTTTGTGCGTTTTCATACCTTCTAGAATACTTATATTGGAACTGATTGTTTCTTTGATTTGAACTTTGACCCTTTGTGTGTGTGTGTGGGTTTTCCTTCTTATCGGTTGGTAAATTTTGTCTATCTCGAGGTGTCTATTGGTTGATGATTCACTGGAATACCATGTAGGCTTCTAAAAATTATCTGGCTAGGAATCTTGGTGTTGTTTCCTCTGTCTGTCTAATATTTGAACGTTGGTCGTCTCAGTCGAATTGATGTCTGAGGTTGTCTGTATGCAGTGAGGCGATATGAGTGAGGGAGTGGATGTCATGTCTTTTAACGACTAGCTTATGATCGTGGATACGAATACGAAGGGGACATCCACTTTGGCCAATGTAGTGTTTTCCGCAGTTGGTACAATTTATTTTGTAGATGATGTTGGTTTTGTCTTCTCTCGCTGTTGAGTCTTTTGGTTGACATAGAACTGAGTGAAGTGATTTTGTTGGTTTGTGCACGACGCCAATTCTTAAGGGTTGGAAGAGTCTTGCAGTGATTTCTGAGATGTCCTTTATGTATGATAGGGAAATTTCCTTTGTGCTTTCCTTGGGGGCCTTTGACTTGGTAGGTTGGCTTGAGGGTATGTGTCTTTTGATGAATTTCCGTAGATATCCATTCTTCTGGAATATGTCCATGAGATATCTTTCTTCAATCTTCCTTTAGGTGAGAGTGCTGCAGTGAGTCCTGGCTGGTTGGCCCTCTTGAATAATGTTTGTATGCAATTCCTTATGTGTGTTATTGGATTGTTGATGTTGTATAATTCAGGATTTGGTCTGTGTGAGTTGATTTTCCAAAAACTTGAGTTTCTAATTCCCTGTGGTTGTTCGCTTGACTAAGACGTCCCAAAATGGGATTTGTCTCTCAGATTCCTCTTCTCTTGTGAATTTGATGTCGTTGAAGACGTTGTTTATTAAGTTGTGAGTTTTATCTAACTCGTTTCTTTTGATTATAACAAATGTGTCGTCGGCGTAGCGTATCCAAATTTCGGGTTTGATCTTTGGTAGGATTATGTTTTCGAGTCTTTGCATCACTGCTTCTGCAATCAAACCTGATATTGGCGATCCATCCATCCCATGGGTATTCCTTTGACTTGTTCATATATATTCGGCCGTTGAATTGGAAGTACGTTGTTAGGCATAAGTTTATGCATTCCATTCAACTTTTGTGTTGCATTTTTGATGGTTATGCGAGGGGGTGTTCGTCGTTGCTAAGTAATTGCTCCATGGTTTCTTTTGCTAGTTTTTGTCCAATTGAGTTAGGTATGTAATGCTGGTCATCTATTTGGAGGCCTCTGATTTTCTCGAGAAATTGGATATCAGAATTGATGGAGTGATCACAAGATTCCGTTAGGTGTTTCAACTTTCTGTATAATTCTTTGGATAAATTGTATGTTGGAGTTTCTGGGAGTGATACAATTGGTCGTAACGGGATATTTGGCTTGTGTATTTTGGGTCTTCCGTAGAATCGCGGTAGGACTGGTCCATTGGATTTCATTCACCATTGCTCTTGTTTTGTGATCTGACCAGTTTTGGTGAGCTTGTTTAAGGTTCTTTGGATGCGTTTGTCTAATATTTGTATGAGGTTTGTTGGGAGTTGTTGATATACATCCTCATCTTTGAGTACTTCTTCAGCTTTCTTGGTGTATTCTTCTCTGTCCATGACTACTGTTGTTCTTCCATTGTCAGCTGGTAGGCTGACGATATCCTTCCTATTTTTCAGCTTTTTGAGGGCCTTTAGTTCTTGAGAGTTGAGTTGTGTGTGTGTTGTTTTTTCTGTTTGACCATTGCTACGATTGTTTGGCGTATTTCTTTATGTGTTTCCTCGCTCAAGTTTGATGATTTAAGTAATGATTTAAGGGCAGCGAAGAAATCAGTTTTTGAAGCATCTCCGGTGTTGTGGTTTAATCCTTTCTGTAGTAGTTGTTGTTCCATTTTTGATAGTGATTGTTTTGATAAGTTGACTACGCAGTCTATAGGTCTATTGTCTGGTTGTTGTTTTCTAATCTTGGTTTTGAGTACTCTTCATCTTTGTTCTCTGTGTCTTCTACTTGACAGTGTAATTGCGGTAACCAGCGTTGACAGGTGTTCCTGGTGAAGGGTGTGGTTTTCTCTAATTTTTGTTTTTGGACATCTATTATTTGTTGATCCGATAGTGTGCGTCTGTAATCGTTAATTTGACCATCCGTCTTCCATATTGGTCGGCCAATTTCCATCCCATTGGGCAGTTGACTGGTGGTTTGTATCTTACACTGGTAGGTAGGATTTGATGACGAAGGCACTCATGGAGAATGGATAATTGTTCTCTGGTGGATCCCTGCCTTTTGGCGAAGTCTTCCCACCCCCAACCCTTCGAACAGAAAGAAGCGTGTTCCGCCCGTAAGATTTAGATATGATGGAGAAGATTTGTAGCTCAGGTGGATGATTTTGATATGGTTGTGTTCCCTGAGCTAGGTGGATAGTTAATTTGCGAAGCTCTCACCACCTTACTAGGCGACATCTTCAGGGCATACACTTCAATTTGAAGAGAATTACGTCACTTTGTGAGTAGTTTGATCAGAGAGACTTTGACATTGGCAAAATATATTAAATACTATAATACTCGATACTGTCTAGAGTCACAATAGTAAATATTAATGATAATAACAGTCAAAGTAATAAGGGGAAGGGCATTCCAATTAAATAAACCCCTTCTTTTTATTCAGGGGACAGGACAGAAATTAAAATAACTGTGAACAACATTTTTGTACACATAGGTCTGGCTGAATAGCATAAGTAACCAAGTCCTGCTTCAAGTTCACATGAAGAAGGAGGTATGGTTTTGATTGCAAACCGATATTGTTCTCAAATCTCACCTAGTTTTTCTAGCCGTTAGTGACCTCAGAAAAGAAGAAAGGTTGGGCGACAGACTCCATGAGATAACAAACAACAACGTCCCAAACTAGGACGAAACAGCTGTCCATTACTCCTAGGTTTTCCAGTCGCTCTCTAACTGATGTCAGGTCATGATGAAATCCTCCATCCACAATCAGACAGTGACCTGGGGTTCTAGTTAGAAGCCATGACCGGTAAGGTACAGCAGGTTGAAGACGAGGCAGTAACTCATCGGAGAAGACATTGAGAAATGGTCGCGCTATTTCGTGAATTGGCAGAAGTTAGAATCCGAGGATCACTGGATCCGATCCCAGTGGCTTAATGGTCTACGAGCTAGCTCACCTTGTAACCAGAAGGTCCTGGGTTCGAACCCCGGTGGGTGCGTACGACTGAAGAGTTCCAAACTAGGACGAAACAACTGTCCAGTACTCCTTGTATGTTTTCCTAATGATTCTCTAACTGATGTCAGCCCATGATGAAATCCTCCATGCAATCAAACAAAATCCCTACAAAACCAATACATGAGAACACCATTTCTATTGAAAAATCAAAGCTTAAAGTCCTATGTTATATGCTGAACGCAAAGGTATGCATTAAAACAAATGCGGGGAGGGGGGGGAAGATTATTGATAACAGGAGGATAATATTTTCACTTCAATTAAATTTCATTAACGTTTATTCAGTTACCCTTTCATCCTGCTCTAGTATATATCTCCTAATTTTGTTATTTAGAGGTGTAGATACAGACTGACACACACACAGACACGCTTCGTGAACCATTTGTTGTTGATCTGTTTTTCCTACTGGAAATTTTAGAACATCTTTACTTAGTGATAGCTGTTAGGCAATTGAACTAACTAACCTTCTAGGTCAACTGGTGGATGGTGACTAACAGTGGAATCCCGGATAATGCACGTTTCGTCCTATTTGGGACTCGTCCTCCAGCTAGATGTACCTGCATTTCTCGAGTCCGGTCACTTCAATTTGCATTTATAAATTTAACTGTTCATGTGAGGAAAATTAGATATGCAGGA